AACTTACAGAATTGGTTGTCTTCTCATATACAGCAAGGCTACGTTACATGATACACTTCAGATTATTATTATTATATAAGTAAACCTTGCATGGAGAGGGAATATTTTGTAAAGTAGAAGACTACCAGAAAGATAAAACAGATACACTTGAAAAGCATATCAAAAGAGTGTTGAGAGAGTTCCTAAAGAAGAAACCGTTTGACAACGATGCTTACACTCATGTAAAACCCCGAGGGTCCCATCTGCTTTAAATGTATGGCCTGACAAAGAACATATCCCCTTAAGACCTAAACTTTCTACGATCGACTCGTTTCAGCACAAAATTGCTCTTTAACTTGCTGAGACGTTGGGATCCATTTGTCGACGTCTAGACGTGCACACCATGAAAGACTCATTTCATTTCGCTGAAAGTGTGAACTACATGAACGTTTTAAATAAGTTCATGGTGTCATTTGATGCAACCTCCTTGTTCACAATGATTCCAATCAATGAAAGCAGTGAGATCATTTGTCAGCAGTCTGATCTTCTCCCACTCCCAGAGTCGGAGTTCAAACGCCTACTGCTAATGTGTGCCATTGTTATAAATATATGAATAGTAAACGGAAAATAAATAGCTTATTGACCAAGAAACACAGGGAAGCTCTAGATAAGCTGCGAAATAATGAGAATATAATAATTTCGAAGCCTGATAAAGGCTCTGGAGTAGTAATAATGAATAGAACTGAATACATAGATAAGATGAATGGAATACTCAGTGAACATCGAAAATTTCAAAAAATTACATCTTCCGTCGATCCGACAGAAAAAGTGGAGAAACAACTAATTGAGTCACTAAAAAGACTTAAACAACAAAGTAGTATCATAGACGGTCTATATGAATCTTTAAAGCCTACTGGCACGGTTACACCAAGATTATATGGACTACCGAAAGTGCACAAAATTGGTTTGCCGCTTCGACCAGTATTGGACATGTGTAATTCCCCATATCATGCAATAGCAAAATGGCTAGTGAAGCTGCTAAAGCCTCTGTATAATGAATTGGTAAAACATAGCGTAAATGGCAGTTTTGAATTTGTTGACAAAATAAGAGATCTTAATGTGAGGGACAAGTTTATGATATCTTTTGATGTGTCCTCCTTGTTCACCAATGTACCGTTAATGCAGACAGTGGATTTTATATGTGAGGAGATTACCACACGAAACATAGACATCGGGATTTCTATATCCACCTTGAAGGAACTTATTTTAAGATGTACAATGAATGTTCATTTCTTATTCAATAAGGAATATTACAGGCAAATTGATGGTGTAGCTATGGGTTCCCCATTAGGTCCAATCCTAGCTGATTTTTTCCTCGCTAAATTAGAGAATGGACCACTGAAAGGAGTAATTAATGACATGGATTTCTACTGTCGATATAGGGATGATACATTTGTGGTTATGAAAGATGAGAAGGATGCTTTTTTTTTTTTTTTTTTTTTTAATGATGCACATTCAGCAATAAACTTTACCATGGAGAAAGAAAGTAATGACAGTATCTCATTCCTAGACGTCTTCATGGCAAGGAAAGATGATGGCACACTAAGAAGGAGTGTGTATAGGAAACCTACAACAACAGGTCAGTACACTCATTTTTTTGAGTTTTGTACCTTTGAAATATAAACGTAACCTGGTAAAGTGTTTGGTTCATAGAGCTAAGTTAATATGTTCAGACGACTGCCTCAATGAGGAGCTTAAGATTATTAAAGAATTACTTAGAAAAAATGGTTATCCAGATAAATTTATTGAGAAGAATATGAATTCAGCACCAAAGAGGGTCAGTATCGCTACAGTTTCAAAAAAGCCAATGTTCATAAAATTGCAGTTCCTCGGTGACAACATCAGTGAAATCATAACACAGCGCTTAAAGAATGCGGTTAAAAGAGCTTATTATGCAGCAGAAGTACGTTGTCTCTTCAAAACCACCCCTATTCTATGTTCGAGAAATAAGGACAAACTACCTAAATTTGCCTCTTCTATGTGTGTCTACCAGTTTGACTGCAGCTGCGGAGCCAGCTACATTGGGCGTACAATTAGGCAGTTTCATCGTCGTATTTCTGAACATCATCCAGCGTGGTTAAGCAAGGGACAAATAAAATCTATTCGTAGTTCTATTTTAGCACACCTTGTTGATACTGAGCACAAGGTCGATGTGAATACTGCATTTAAAATTATTTATCGTATTCCAACTAATCTTAACTTTGCTCTAAGATTTCGTCTTTTACAGACAGCTGAAGCAATTGGAATCCACCAGAAGAAACCAAGCCTATGTGTACAGAAGAAATTTGTACAGCCACTTTGCTTACCGTGGCCATCGTTACAAGACAGGACTACGTCGCCCCCCTCCCCCTATTAAATTATAATTGTCCAAATTATTTTTATTTTGACTTCTTCTTTAATCACGTGTTATTCTTGTAAAATTAAATTATAATTGTCCAAATTATTTTAATTTTATTTTTACCACTTCATCTCTAATTACGTGTTATTCTTGTAAAATTAATTTATTCTATCCATTTCTACCTTTTAATTGTGTATTAATTTTCTTCCTTAATTATCTACCCATTGACATTTTGACACTGGTTAATTATTGTTAACAAACATATCGCCACGTGTTTGGTAAATTGTTGTGTATTGTAAAAAATGCTATATATATTAGAGTAGAGCCATAGAAGAGGATCTAATTGAAAAGTAAATATTTCTTCGCTCAATCTTTCTGTTTTTTCAAATGTCTAAATGGGGATATTTTCTATATTGAACTCTATGTATACAAATTTATGTGTATCTGCGGTAGCAGTTACATTGGGAGAACCTTCAATTTTGCAAAGTAAGATGAATTCAGTCCATATTATAAGAGTAGAATGACATCCTGAAAATGGAGACAGGGTACAAATGCTTTCTGTTAATGCTCATAACTTTATGCTGTTTGAAATAGTAGAAATATGAACATGTACAATCGGTGGAGCCAAAAAACAATTGCATTTGTGTGAACTGGATAACACACACCATTCTTGCAAAAAAAGTCACTCTACTTGTCCACCTCAATTTCAGTATGTGGATGAATATGAAACGAAAACTAATAATCACCCAATTCTATCAATATAATACATGCGTTTTTCTTTTCTTTCGATCTGAGTGAAACATACGACTTCAAGTTTAGAAGTTTCAAGTAGTTTCTACCAAGTGGGGTTTCTAATCTCACTCCAACCTTTCACAATTTCTCGGCCTTACTACCGGCAAATAAACTAGGCGAAGTTAGAAATGAATTGGCTGGAAACTGAACCCCGATCTCCGGAGTGTTTAACTGATCTCAACTGCGGAACTTACAGATCTTAAAGTGGATAAGAACAGTGCCTTCCTGCTCAGCAGTTCGCTCCATCCTCCTTTATGGCTGTGAGTGAGACGCGGCCATTGAAAGTAGAAGACACGAAAGAGCTAGCCGTCTTTGATCATAGGTGTTGGTGTACTATCTCCCGTGTTACGTGGTACAATATAGACAGTAATATTGAGGTTGGGCATCAAAGATTAGGTAAAGAAGGTAAGTCAATTGATGGGATTGAGAGGGTGCATCGATTGAAATACCTAGGACATGTGGGATGCGTGACAGGCCACCCCCTTCCTCGACGACAAATCTTAGGTAATATTGGATTAGGCTGGAAAGGAGTTAGGGACGGTCAAATCGAAACATGGCGTCAATCCATGAAATTTTTGACATTTAATTTGAGCCATTATTGATATAAGTATAAAACTTGGGCACTGTGGTAGAGTATAACTCCATTATGGATAAGATTTTGTTTTGATAAATCACACAGTGTTATACAGTAATATTAACTGATGACGTTTCGAGCACAAACTATTGCTAATAATCATATCAAGTTACTGACACATAGAAAAAAGATCGTGACCGCTTGGTTGGAGTCCTCAGGATGGTAAGGACCGATAAAGGCTGAAGGCAATCGGTAGGATGGTTCAAAACCATTCTCCCTTTGTGATCTCGCATATCCATTAAAACCCTATTGTTTCTCCATGCTACTGTTCTTCTTTCTCCCTCGCATTTCTGCTTATTATTGCTTTTTTGGAATCTCTCTTTTGCCTTACATTGTGTGCTACATGGAGTGTGGCAAACTGAAGTGCAAAGTTCTACGTTGAAATCAGTCAGTTAGTCAGCTGTCTTGGTTTGCTGTTAGCAACCTTAATCTACACATAACCGCTAGCGACAACAGTTGATATATTAGAGTATGAAGTGATTAAGATCTGAGTAAGACGGGGTACCTAACCTGTCATATGCTCTGATGGTGTTCTCGTGACTTTTGTTGCCAGATCTGCTAAGGGCGATGGAATAGTACGCGACCTAATGGTTGTGTGAAAGGTTTGAAGAAGGCTGTGTGTTATTTGCATGAGCCTCGCCCTGATAATGCTTGTGCGTCGGTGGCATAGCGGTTAGGACGCTCGCCGACCATGCACATGGTCCGGGGTTCGATCCCCGGCCAGCACACTCCTTTGCCTCACTAAGCCAGAAATAATGCTGGTGAAGAGGAAAGGTTAGGCATAAGGCTAGCAACCCCATCCTGTAAAATAAACACTGCTACAGAAACTCCAAGCCACTAGCTTGAAGCCCTATGTTCCACTGGGGAACGTGAAGGAAAAAAAAGATCTGAGTAAGGTAGTAGATATCAAATGTGAAGCAACTTTTAAGTAGTCTTGACACACTCAAGTAAAGAATGGTGATTGTGAACACTCCTATTACTTTACTTAAATGAACCTTAACGACTGTTTGACAATTACATACACAAAAATAAGAAAGAATAATAATGAACGTTCGTGAGTTCATGAGTTTACAACCTACTACTAACACACAGAGTCAGCACGCACGATTAAATAACAACAAATAATTGAACATTTTTATATACATTGTTTATTTTAACAAATTAATCAAAAAAATAATAATAATGATAACAAAAACAACCTAGTTTCTTTATACAAAAAAAAGAAATGATTTCATCTTCTTCTTCTCCTCCTCCTCTTCCCCCTCCTAAGAACGTAGAAATGGCTTATTCCTAGCTATATGTTTATCTAGTTGTTCCCAGATTTGTTGAAAATTAGCCTTGTCTAGATGACGTCGTTGATCTAGATCGATTACACGTACATTCCATTTGGCTACATTTGGATCCAGAGGCATATTGGTGTATTTCAAATGAAAACCTTTAACTATGTAGGAAAAAAAGTGATAAAGAGAAAGACAAGCCTTTAATTTTTGATATGCATTCAGTAATAACAAAATATACATTAAGTGAACACAAAAAGTAGAACCTACAATTCTACTGTGAGTCCACAAATACTGTATTAATTTGATTGGATACTAGGTAGGAAGTAACTAATGGCATGCGTCTAGTCCTTCCTTCGTTCAGTGCAGAATGAATTCTATCAGACAAGTTTGCAGTATGGCAACCATGCCACTAGGTGGCTCAGTATCACGGTACACTCTGAATTGTTGTCATTAAGTGGTTGGAGATAATCGACAGGAAGCCGTTGAACCTAGGCGCTTCATGCTTGTTGGCACTACTCAAAAAGGAGTATCTGAAATCTTGAAGAAGTTCATACACTCCCTGAAGTTCGAATTCAGGTCACGCAGAGTGCTCTAGTAGTCAGAAGCGTTACCACTAAGCTTTTCGAACTCGCGACTACTGACCTCCTGTAGGACTGGAATGGAAACTATGATTGAACACTAAGTAGAGTAACTAGTGCCATGCGTGTAATCTTTCGTTTGCTACAGACTTCCTGCCGATTGCCTCCAATCATCTAACAATATATTGCATTATTTTGTATGAAATTGACAATTTAATTTGAACATTATTCACGAGTATTCACAACTACACACGCATTATGATTCATGGTAGTCAACTGCAATGTCTTATGTTTAATTTGATACTATATTTATTGTATAGGAGAATAGTTACTCGCATATATATATATATATATATATATATATATATATATATATGGGGGAAATGGCAGAGGTTGGAATTCATGGGCCATTAGATCGGGTTTCAGTGGCTGAATGGTTACCTTGTCTTGTAACCAGAAAGTGACTGACTAACTGGTTTCAACACAGAACTTTGCACTGATGTGCAGCAGTTCGAGTCGCCACACTCCATGTAGCACACAAAGCCAGAGAAGAAAGTAAAAAGAAATGTAAAATAGAAACAATAAACAGAGACATGAGGCAAAAAAATAGTAGTATCGAAGAACAATATAGTTTTATTGGGTATTATGAGTCACAAGGAGTGGATGCATCTGCGCCACTGAGGACGATTTCGAGCTATATCACCAATTGTCTCCAGCCATTGGTGTTTACCTTCCCGAGGACCCAAACCAGGAAGTCTACACCTTCCTACGTGGCTTAAACTAACCGTTGTGGATTTCATTGATTGAAGCCATGTTTTGGTTTGACCACCACTGTAACAAAAAGTCCTCGGTTCGAACCCCTGTCCAGTATTCCCTGACTTTCAATAATTCTCTCACTGATGTCAGCTGGTGATCAAATCCCTACAAACCAACACCTGTTGGAAGTTGCAAAAATATCTTTTGCAGGTCTTACAAACTACTCACTATTTACTAGCCACGAATCCATGGGTCAGACGAGAGATCATATGACTCGGTAACTTTAAACTTTCTTAGATGTGGCTTGGAGTTGAAATCAATAGCGAACCTTGTTTTTCCTAATACCTAAAATAATATGAAGCAGTTAACGATCCTTTGAATTAACTTGTTTCATTAACCTCTACTCTGTTTTACTTCTTTCCTTTGTATTTCTGTTTGACTACTCTATGAAGTGCATTTATTGATACTCATGGTGTACCAAGTTTATATTTCAAATAATCGACTGGAGGATTGGAAATATCTTTTGAGGCTTTGCAAAGAGTCAGTTGACTAACTGACTGACCGGTTTCAACATAGAACTTTGCACAGAGAGATGCAGCAGTTTGAGTTGCCATACTTCATGTAGCACACAAATGAAGAGAAAAGAGAGAGGAAAGATATTCGAAAGAACGATAATAAGCAGAAATACCAGGGAGAAAGAATACCACTTAATTCTGGAGATAGAACGTATTCACTATTGTAACAGCAGAAGACAAGGACCAGGCAACAGATCGTTTATTTAGAAATCAACACATATTTATAGATTTCATGTACATTATTATAGATTATTTTAAGCAAACAAAACAGTCTTCCGATTGGTAGTTTCTTGCTGAACGTTACTCTTTCATCTCAGATTATCTATCTGCAAATTGTATCCACCTACGCAAAGTCTGCTGTGATTGTTTGTTGAGTCAGTCTTCGTTCTTATTTTCTATACAATATTGGACGTAAACATTGACGTAAATTACTGTCTACCAATTTTGGCTAGCAGCCAGCTCTCACCACACTATGATCAAAGACAGCCACACTCTCCATGACTTCCACTTTCAATGACCATGTCTCAGTCATAAAAGAGGACGGAGCGAACGGCTGGGAAGTAAACACGTCCTTTGATTGACAGCCATCCGGATATCACGTCTACACCAGAGACTAGGTAAGTTGGCAGACGCCACACGAGACTTTGTATCCGTGACGAAATTTCGTTATCAATCAGCCAGTTGGGGATAATGGAACTTCCCAAATAAGCGAAGTGGTTAACATATTCTACCACTTCACTCCCTATTTTTTAACCTAGGAGTCGTTGTTGTCCAGTCTTGTAGCATCATCTTACATGTAACAGGAGCAAATCGTATCCCAAACATTCGAAGGTTTTCGCTCAGTTTTCAGAAGACTCTGTTTTTTATCAGCGTCTTCACCTAGGAGGACTATATCATCCGCACACTCTAGGTCAATAAAACTATTCCCTGGTAACAAGTCAGTCCCTAAGTCGCTGAAGTCAGTTAGATTCAATTCCATTGTAAAAACAGCATTCTACTTCTAGTCTAAAATAGGACGTTTTATGAGTTGCCTACTGTAAGAGATCAAGTTACTATAAGCTTCATTTTAAGACATAAATCTCTATTATTTCACGAATATATCCTACTACAACAAGTAGGACTGAGTAGCATCCATAGTCACTTTTAATAACGTGGTAAATAAACCCATCTATGGTCTTTTGTCCCAATTACATCTAAGAGTTCAATATATCAATCAGAACAACACAAGAACAGTATTAAAAATCAATGGAATCCTTTACAATCACCCCCAATGAACCAATAAAACACTGCTTACTTTGGGAGAAAATTACAGCTGGATCAGAGCTGATTGGCCAACCTTTAAATTGCCATGCTTGACCCTGGACAAAAACGGCCACAACACGATTCCATTCATCTAATAATAATTTATTCGGTTGGTCCACCACACGATACGGTACAGTTCGACCATCAGATTTCTGACGTTGAATCAGAATTTCATTTTCCCGACGCATACCTGAAGCTTGTTTTTCCTGAGATTTAACGAAACGTAAATCCTAAAATGGAAGACAACATACTACGCAATTATGGGTATTTATTTCGACAAAAAAATGCATGTCACTAATAAAAATTCAAGTATGTATAGTGGAAATGCTGTTGATATTGTAGACGGTTGGTAGAAAACCAAGAACTTAAACAACAGAATGGAAACACTACAGAAACAAGAATGTTGAATAAAGATGCAGCAACCTGTGAACTACTATTATCCTCCAAAACATACAATTTGAAGTGCAACTCTTTGTTGAAACGAAATGTGTAGAAATGTTTACGATACAGAACTGCAGAATTTTAAGATATTGTGTTCGTGGAAAATCGTGTGTAGAGCTGGGATTTTAAAATGAAAGCAACTATTCAAGCCTAACCCTACTATTTTTTGTGATACGTTGAAATAAGTTGGATTAGACATTATATATTCTTATACCAGGTTCATGACTACACTTAATACTAACCGTATTACCCAACTGCATATGAATTGAAACCCCGGTTGAATGAGTTTGAAAACCAATGCAATGCAAATAGAATGCATTCAGAAGCTAATCCAGGCTCTATACCTCACTCCTTACTAATGGGTAGAGAATAACATCAACCGTGTAACTTATTCATTTGACAATTCAAACCTCCAACACTGTGCTAAATTAGAAAACTATTACTTAGCCCTGACACCGAACTCTATCTCTAGTCTTACACCTAAAGCAACTGTGTGAACAAAATTCGCACCATCTTACATTAAACTAAATACAATAAACCTGAATATTAAGTACTAAAAGGTTTTTAATACATAACAGTAAAAAGTTCTCGTCAAAACAGATGTAAAACACTTCGACGAATACAAGTCACTAGTTAAATCTATCATAATACAAACCCAAATATCTAAATAGGTTCACCATCTTCTTTTAGTATTTAAACGGGAAACAACAAATTCTCCTAGTGTATGATATCCACTGTCGAACTAGTGATCATGTCAACTCAAAATAACGGCCACTAGTTTTCAGTATCGATTAGACCAATTTTAGTTCTAGTAATTCTGTTAAACTGTGGATCCAAATTTAGAAACCTGCTTTACATCTTCTAAAACGTACAAGAAATATTTAGTCTGCTCTGTATGTGATGGGCTTCTCCTGCCAGACACCAGAGTCAGAAAACAGTTGATGACCAAATGAATTCGAATTATAGTACTTCTCTTTTTTCATCCCTTGAAGGTTTCAGTAGCAGTCTTGTTTTTCCCACGGGACAGGGATGCTTCACGCCTAACCTGCCCTCCTTACCGGGCTTACTACTGGCTCAGAGAGGTTAAGGGGAGCGTTGACCAGGGATCGAACCCCAGAACACGTGCATAGTTGATGGACATTTCCACCACTGGACCACCGAAGCAAGTCAAGGGGCACTAGGTAACTGTCTCGTCCTGGTTTGGGACTCTTCATCAATGTGCATCCTAAGTAGACCCATCAAATTATCTTTAAACATTTCTGATGTAATTAAAGATCATTTGATTTTTAAACCTGTTCTCACCTGGGTGAGTAAACATTTGAAATCACCTACAGACAATAAAAATAACAAACGACACAACAATAACTAGTATAAGAAAGAGTATGCTTACTTGCAAGATATCTCTGGCATTGTACATAGTAATTAGACTAGTTGGTGCTGCGGGAATTATAATAATTGGAATACGAGATGACCTGATTTTATTTCGAGCAGTTAGGCGGGCATCAGCAGTAGAGCGTAAACCACGATCTGCGAAAAATGAAACACATGCTAAGCACTTTTACCAACATCAAAAGGAATTATATTAATTGTTAACTAACTACTTAAAGATGGTTGAAGTGTGTGTGCAAAGCTAGGAACAAAGAAGATAAGCAGTATAAAGAAATATTATTTTTTTTAAACTATAGAAGTAGCCTACTGATATATATTATGCAGAAACATATAGAGACAAGCGATCTCAGTCACTAGAAGTTGGATACCGTAATCCCAAAAGTCTCGGCTGAATTAACTTACAACAAAAATCATATAGAAAGACATGATGTTGCCTAATTGCATATTAACATTTCTCTACAATTTACAAAAGTAAAAAACAGAAGGCCCCTAGGGCATAAAATCCCATAAGACGGACAAAATATAAAAAAGAAATAATTTAATGAATCACAAATAATGCCTCATTAAATGAACTGGTCTTCCCCTCAAAATGCAGACATATAACCAAGACCCTACTCACTGCCTTTATGCAGTTTGGGGTGTTCCTAGAAAAGTGAAAGGGAGAATTTGAAGGTTTGCGCAGTTCACCTAGAGGAACTGTATAACCCAATTCAAAACCATTGGTGCATATAGGCTCAAGGATCTGAAGTAACCGGACGGCATATGTACTTTCTTGGTAACCGGCAACCATGGAGATGCAGCCCTTGAAGTTTCTTTGCTGTCTTATAGATAAGGATTGGAAAAACATTCAAACTATTTATAATTCTTGGAACCCACGCTAAAAACCATACATTTAGCCTTTGAAATATAGACACCTAGAAAATATGTAGTTATGCGTAACATGTACTAATCGAAACAGAACTTGATCTATACTTACATGCATCAGGAGTAGCACTTGGGGTCGAAGGAATCCCGGAGGCAGTAGCTCGAGGGTCTCTGAGAGATTGAGGTTCATAAGGAATGCTCGGAGTTTCGTTTCCCATTGACCTAGAAGCAGTCGCTGGCGTACGGAGAGGAGTTGAACTCCCAGTAAAATTATCTGAATTTGGCTTGTCTGCACTACCGGCAACCATTGACACCAAGGCCTTTCCGTGATAAGAACTCATAGTATCGATGCGAAAGCCGGCAGTTTCTTCACGTCCACCTGTAAAACGCTCTTGATCGTATCTCGAATAATGCATCTGTGAATGATGCGGCGCATTGGAATTGGAGACAGACATAGGCTGCCCTGTACTGAGCGCCATAGCTGACCCAGTATTTGCACCGTTAGGTTTTGAATAGTAAGTTCCGACAGCCAGTGGTTGAGGGAAAAGTGTCGATTGATTGTTAGCAGCCGTATAGCCTAATCTGCCAGCTGCTTTAGGATCTGGAGCATTATGAGCATCTTCTTTCAACTACAAAATGCACAGAAAGCAAAAACAACGGTAACTAATCAATAGTGTGCGAAAAATAAATTGTTGGACATCACTCTCAAAAGAAGATAAAAGAGAATTATAATACCAACCAATGACCTTTATTCATAACATTCTAGCAAACTGTTTAACAAATGCTACTCAAACATATCTTAAAGATACAAGTACTCAAATATGCTTCAGACAGTAAGAGATGAATGTCCTCAGACATTTGAACAGGGATCACAGTTAAATTTACAAAAATCATATACACTTTTTTCTACAGCCACGACTATTTTTGCATTCAGCTTTTATCCGCACAAAGGAACAAATATTTCAACTGAAATAAATATACACCGCACTGAATATGAATTCATAGTAGAATTATGAAACAAATATAAATTTCTGAAAATTGACTTACGATTACATTTCGAAGAATTCCCAAAACAATGTTTTCATAGAATGTTTTTCCTTGACTCTGTAAAACCGAGACACGATTTCTCCAGGAACGCTCACGCGCTACAATTGCGCGTACTGGCGCTTCGTCAGCCATAAGAGAAGCTCTCAGGAGAGTGCTGCCTGAATATAATTGACCTTGAGTAACATCATCTATCCGAATAATAGACTGAGATTCGCCTCCAGGTACTACACTATGAAGACCAACACGGGAGTCTCGAGCATCTAAAGACATAACTGACAGTCCAGTGTCACCATCACTGCCAGGATAATTTGCTACAGGGACTTCAAACGCCTGATCTACATCACCCGTCTTGATTCTTTGCTGTTGAATGGCACGGAACTTCGCTCGCCATGACTAAAAAATTACACAAATTTATTTATTAAGTAGTCAATGTATAGGACAGCCAAACAGTCTAAATGGACATCTCTTACCTGAATTTTGTCCAGTGGAACAGCTTCTGGCAATGTGCTTGATTTAGCTTGATCAGGCTGAATGAAACTAGAGGAACGATTGCCAAACGAACTTTCTAGCTTAGCAGCCAAATCACGCTTTTCACGTGCGATCGCCTCTTCATCAAGTACCATAGATTTCAAACGAGCTTGCGACTCACGACTTAACAAACTGTCATCCAATCCTTCAACACTACTCGTAAGTCGCATTCGTTTGGCCTCAGAATCGACACTGAAACCATCTGTACCAAGTATATCAGCTGCATCTACAGTTGGTAAATCAAATATATTCAGCTTAATGATGAGTTTGATTCAAAGAAATAGTCAGTATAATCAACCAATCGAAAACATACTATGTATGTATCACATTTGGATGTAATTATCTCGTAGAAATTATGATATAATGTACTGCCTTAAAATAATTGGGAGAGCACTCCCATTGACTAGTTCGTACTAAGACATGGAAGTATTTCATCTTTGAAAAAGTGAGCCCTGGAAAACCAGGTTTTCAAAATACTATGCAAATGTGAGAATAAAGCGACATGAAAATACACCTTAAGTTAAAATTGTGGCATATTTCAAACGGTGAATGAATTCTGTTAACACCAGAACTTCAAACTTACATTTATTTTCATTGTATCAATAACAACGAGACAAAAACAGTAAGACCGAAATGGCTAACAAAACTTGAAGAACATAATAGTTGATAAGGGATAAAACGAAATCTCACTGGAATGCTGCAGTATTGGCATCTGAAAGCCAGTGCTTCCCTAACGAATTTTCAGAAGCCATCAAATCACGGACAAGATTGAATAGACTTCAATTATCATACAATATTATGTTGAAAGCAGTATTTGTGAGTCAGATAAGTAGGTCAGTAGTAAGGTTAAAGATTTATAGAAAATCAGTTTTACCGTACCCAAAAGTTAGCATACGAAATCGCTCCAAATGATTGGTAATTGCCACAAGGCTTAAAAAACCTGGAGGCTGAACCGTGATCACCATGCTTATAAAAAGACGGTACACAGCTTTCAGATTCATTCGAAATATTCCGTATATTTAGGCCTTTTTTTCTCATAATTGGAATTAAAAATTCAGTAGATAAAATCACACTCTACATTTACTTCATTACTATCCTAGTCATTTTCTTTTGACGACTGTCCGCTTGAATATTCTCAAGCTAACAATTGACTATAAAACTGAACTTTATTTCATTGTCACGGATATACTTTTATGGCCAGAGGAGAATTCCAAAAACTATGGAGACAAACAGGTTTGTAAGTGTACAAGCAACTACTGATCTGAAAATAAGTTAACTTCGTATATTTTCGAAAGTAGAAATCGTAATGGCTCACTCAAGATTCAGAGGAAAGTTTTGCACAACCACGGAGACCTGTTCGATCCTGGATAAATTAAAGTGAAATACCAGTTCTACGAGTGTCAATAAAAAAAATTTGAGATGGTCGAAAAACAAGGTACATTATGGTTATGAAAGCATGGGTGCTGCAAGCTGTATCACCATCTGTATTCAGGATTAAAAGACGAGTGGACAGTTTTTTCTGAACTTTTAATACAATAACTTCTAAGGAGACTTTTTAAAGTCCTTTGGATTTAATCAACTTTCAAATCTTCCCTTTATTAAACTAATAATGAATTCATTGACCAGCTTAAGTAAAACATAATTGGACGTCAATTAAACAATAGTACACTAATGATGACAAAAATTCAACCAAGCAACAAGAAGATTTTCATAATATTTAAGAAGATATATTTCATGACTCACCTCTTCGAATATGCGAATGTGCATCTGTTTGTTTAGCAACAGCTCGACGCAAGGAAATGTCAACGGGAGCAGCTCTATCAATATTTGGAGCAGTATTTGTTTCACCCTTTAAGTAAGCCAACAGGTCACGTCGATCGGGAAGTCGCACCACCGGGAGACCAGCACTCTACATGGTAGTTATTACTTCCTAAATGGGAATACGACTGCTTACTGCTGCTTGTCGCACATACTGAGTATGTGGCAAATCAATGTGCTTCAATAAATACACAACACAGTCAAGGGTATAATAGTCTTTTGGAGTACCTTCTTTGCCAGACCTATGATTATTGATTTGAAAGCAAAGCAGCAGCTATTACCCCCATACTAAAAAGTTGGTTTTGGTGGTTTTGGGCCAGGCAAAGTCTCCAAATATCACCTCAGTTTGAGTCTCAACGATTGGCCTGCCATTTAGATGATACTCCCGCAAGAGTGACAGAACATCTGCCATAATGCAAGCTGTAACGTGCTATTCGAAATCCGCAACCGAAATTACGACAATTCAATATCACTTGATGTCAGAATATCTCCGTATTCCAAATTATCTATGTTCCGTATATTTATGATGCTATCCATGAGTACTAAATGTGGAGTTTCTACGTCTGTTTGCATCAGTAGGCTTCTGGAATGTAATACAAAGTTTCTGTTTGTGGCGACCACACGAATCTACGTCAGGTCCCCAATAGTCCGGGATGAACTCCTGACCTTTATTTAGGTATATACCAAACACTATCCCCTTAGAAATTAAGTCTTGGTGTTTCAAGGTCTTCACTGGGAATTTTTCATAAATCTATATACGAATTTACGTCATCACGTAAAATGAAATGGAGACGAAATTTTCCATGCTCCGCTAAAATTTCTGTTTTTCTTCAGATCATAGGACCAAAAGGTTGAGGTAATTTTTACTGATATATGCTGGATAAACTCCGTGTTTTCTTCATTCTTATAAGCCTCGTCACACTACGTATACTTTTTTTGTGTTATATTCACCATGGTCGGCAAAATACGAGCGGTACTGTAAATTAAAATAGTGGTAGCATTTCAGAAGATGCTGTTCACGTAGGTTCACGTCAGTCAGCAGCCCATTACACTGCTATTAGAGGCCATGGAACTCCATGGTGACCATGTGGTCTGAAAGAATAATGTACACTCTGACGATAAGTTCCTGAGTGTTATCGTGAAGACTGTCCCTAAAGTGTTTCCAGTAACCCAGCGTGCAGAAACTGCTAGGCATTCAAGCGCCACAGGAAGTCCCATACAAATTATTAACAGAGGCCCAAGCCAAGAGTTTGCAGTGGACATACAGAATGGTTCCAATCATGTGAGCGAGTGCTTTCAACACTTATATGGAAGTTTAAATGTCTAAAGGTAACAGACACTTAAGTGTGCAGTATCGCAAATAAATTTCATGATCTAAACTTGATACAAGACGAGTTGAATTCAATCACTGGGGCCAACACTTAAGCACGACTCACCCTAACACAGAAAGATTATCTCAGCTGCTAGGTCTTAGCCGTCTTTGATGAAATAAAACCAAAAGTACTAAGGGCACTGCAGGAGTCTTACAAATTACTGACTCTTTTCACGACAGTGCTCTTCTTCTTGGTGCGTGCCGATGATTACGACTGATGATAAGCTCCCTAAGATTGAGGCTTCGTCGAGTTACTTCAGCCAATTGCTCTTGGCCGATGGCAGTGCGTCAGTAGTTAAACTTTATGGAGGTACTTCCAGAATGGAACACCTACACACTGAAAATATAGCTCACTTCTTATAAGTCTGGCAGTCAGAGGTTTGACCGCCATTCTATGCCTTGTTCTGTGATGACTATGAATAGTGTCGCAATTTGATCAACACATGATTTGCCTTTCTTGAATCCAGCTTATTCTGGAGTTCTGCATCCAGTGCATCTTTTGTTCTCTCCAGGACACCCCAAAAATATAAAAAATTGTATTCAGATTTTACATAATTACTAATAATCATTCAGCCTATCTTTCATTACTTCTGGGATGATTAGACTTAGTATTTTACTTGGTGTGGGCGAGGGCATTATTCCACGCCTGTTCTTGCACAGACCTAACTAAGTCGCCCTTCTTTGGTAGCTTGACAAAATAGCCAGGCTTTCTTCCAGTCTACAGGTAGGCAACTTTCCTTCCTTCCCTCCAAACCTTTGCAATAATGGCGTGAGCACATCTGCCACATTCCTCAGGTCCGCTTTCAATGCTTCGGGTGGAATCCTATCTAGTCCTGCTGCTTTCCTGCAACTCAGCAACTTGATCACATTCAAAATTCCCCCTTTTGTTGGAGTATTGGTGTCCACTGTGGGGCAGTTCTGTGAGTGCTGCTGCTGGTATTTCTAGGAGAGTCGCAGGTGATGGTCGAGTCAAGAGTCCTCTGCAGGGATCAGCCCATTGTTTTATTTGTTTCTCCTCCTAAGATTGGGTTCCTATAAACATCTTTTATTGGTTTCATCATCTGAGTTGATCTCTTTCCGGATGGAGACCCGGTTATTTGATATAATGTCCTGAGATCTCTTTTGCCTGCTGCTTGATCTGCTTCAGTTTCCGGCCAGTGTGTCGTAAAACTGTCTTCTGTCTTTCCTAGCGCTCTTCTTTACTGCTTTGTTCAGTGCAGTACACAGTGAACTCAGATTCTCCTTCTGTTGTCCACCTCTGCATTGAGTCATCTTCTCTTTCACCATCCTTCTATCCGCGATTAGCTTCCAGGTCGTTGTCCGTTGACAGCCATTCATTTTTTGTCTCTTTTTCCGTCGTAGGGGATTTGTACGCGTTTCCTTGAGCATCACCTTCAGAGTTAGTTTCAATGTTCTACAAAGGTTTCCTCATTGATACCCCGTGGTGTCTCCGACTCTGCTCTAATCTGACATGCAGTGTAGGTATCCCTTGTCGGCTTTTCCTTCAGTTTCTGAATGTTGAACTTGAGTTGTGGTCTGTCTCCATGTGTTTTGAGGGCTTTCAGCTTGGCTTTGAGGGTTCCCTAAACTAGATGATGGTCTGAACCCACATCTGCTCTCCTTATCGACTTTGTGTCCAGCAAAGTGACTGCGTCTCCACTTCTTTGAGCAGCAGTGATATGGGATCTATATGGTTTGTGGTGTGTCCATCAGGCGAAATCCATGCCACTGTTCTTGTGTATATCCTTGTATTTGTACACACTCTCTCTGATCACCAAGTCATCGAAAGTGTAGAAGTCTGCCAATAATTCTCCGCTCTAATTCATTTTCCGAGAGCCTCTCGACCCATGATGAGGCCTCTTCCTGTACTACATGCTCCCAGTTCAGCTGGCATTCATATTGCCAATAAGGATTTCGATCTCACCAATTGGGACGTTGTTCACTAATATTTGTAGTTGTCTATAGAAATCTTCCTTCTTCTCTTGTTCCGCGTTATTTGTAGCGCTGTGCGTATCATTGGGTAATTGCAACATTCCTTCTTTTAGAGTTCAATCGTGCAGTCATGATCTTGGATGAAGTCGGTTTCCACTGCATTAGGGCTTTGGCTGCCACTGGTGATAACATTATACCCACTGCCTCAGTGTGCTCATGGTTTCCATCTGGCTGACCGAACAAATCAGATTATTGACTCCCCAGTCGACAATTTCGACACTGCATATCCATTCCATCTGCTCTCGCAGATTCCATATATATTTTCAGTTATTTCGCTACCTGGGCAGCCTTCCCCGTTTTGTACATTGTGCCAAGATTCCACGTACCGATTCCTATATGTGCTTTCATCGTGAGAAGACACATCAGCTGTCTGACTGTTTCCCGAAGGCTTTCCCCAGCCCGCTCTGTAATCTGGCCTCTTCGATTCGGGCGAAGAATAAGAATGATATTTGAATTTTATGTATTTTCCATGTATCCTTTGTCCGTTCAAGTTTTTCTAGCAGTTGGAATTTCATCGATGACCTACCACACCGTCTAAGCTGCCTACCTCCTCTTTATGCTGACGGCGTGCAATAAATTGCTTGGCAGACTTAGATGGGCTGCAGACAGACCTAAGACTTCTGGAAGACTAGGCGGTGGCCAGTGGTATGACCTTCAGCCTGAAAAATTCCAAAGTAGTGCAACTACGCATCTGTAGGCTGTTGAGTGCAGGTTACACCCTGTGCAACGAAAGTTTGTCCTGCGCGACGTGGCAGCTTAACTTGGGTTCAGTTTTAACGGAGAAAATTGACACAAGCGTGAATTACACGGGGATGTATCGAGGGCATATCTGGTTATAGACTCCACATATAGACACTTAGGTGTGCTCACTTCTGAGCTCCTTCTGGGGTCGTGCAAAACATACGTCAGACCACACCTTGAAGTGCACAATATCATTGCACCCCACTGCTTGGAAGAGACTCAAACCTTTTGGTAAGAGTCCAAAGACAGGTGACAAAAGGAGCGATGGATCTCCGAAAAAATGGTACGATGAACGGCTAAAGATATTAGGCCTCTTCACACTTAGCGACCGTTTGCTTCAAGGGGACATGATTACTGCCTATAACATAACATATGTGCATCGGTGGCACAGTGGTTAGGACTCTCGCCGACCATGCACATGGTCCGAGATTCGATCCCCCGCCGATGCATACCTGATATCTATGGTCGGCCTGCTAAATTTGGGCTACAGATATCACAGGCCCAGGGGTTCGACGTCCACGGATAGCACGAAGTATACTAACGCAAAATCTAATCCACACAACTTCTATAGTTTTCGTTCCACGTAGACCAAAGGCAAAGCAAAACACAAGAGTTGATCGTCCAAATTACGAGATATATTTCGGGACCAAATCGGAGTGCGAGATGATTGATTAGCTGGCTAGGGATCGTGCACGAACGAACGTGACACGATGGCTTACCAAATAACGCTGATGCTCGACAGGAAGCCTTCATCTAAACAAGTTGACTTTAACAGTGAGGGTCAGCATCCAGTGTTCAGTGATGAATGCTGTGGCCAATAATTCTGGGGAATTACCTGCCGCTAGACCTCACTGCACACCTAGTGGTGTTGCGAGGACCCTAAGACAAATCCAACTGAAAGTAAAACACCCAATGATTTTCCCATCGGTACAAACTCTTTCAGTCGGCTTGATGCAGTGCCCACTGGTCGTCTACCTATGCTAATAAGGTGTCTGTACATTGCCTCGCTTGTGTTTGCCCATTGGATCTCGTGCTTTGTTTGCTTCTTGTCCAGTGCCCATCGCACCTGGAAAAGAAAACAAGAATGCTAAGAACCTTGTTGAGGAAGATGTACCAAAATAACGTTTCAATAATGACATGTATCTACTATACAGATAAATAATGCGAAAAACAGAAAGTCGAAAAAAATGTACGGTTGTAAAACAGTTTTTACTTGTATTGCGGGATGCAATTTAAAAACTGGTGTGTCTGAGAGAAAAAATGTACCACAACCGAATAAAAATTAGGTGAATCGCATCAATTAGTTATGTGACATAAATGTGGAGATGTTCTAGGAATCTTACGTTTC